TCCACCCCCTGGGGTAAAGGCAATTGGTTGCAAATGGATCTGTAAGAGGAAGAAGGGCTCTGATGGTAAAGTTGAGACCTACAAGACTCATCTTGTAGCGAAAGGGTACACTCAGAAAGAGGTAATCGATTATGAGGAAACCTTTTTGCCTGTGGCCATGCTTAAATCCCTTAGGATCCTGCTAGCTGTAGAAACATACCATGAATATGAGATTTGGCAAATGGATGTCAAAACCGTATTCCTGMATGGAGATCTTACTAAAGATATCTACATGTAGCAACCACAAGGTTTCATAGTTACAGGTCAAGAACACATGGTATGTAAACTCAACCGATCCATATATGGACTTAAGAAAGCTTCTAGGAGTTGGAACATCCGGTTTGACTCTACCGTCAAACAGTTTGACTTTGAGCAAAATCCGGATGAGCCCTGTGTTTATAGAAAGATAGTGGGAGATAAGGTTACGTTCTTGGTTCTGTATGTWGATGACATTCTACTCATTGGGAATGATGTAGGAATGTTAACTACGGAGAAAGTGTGGCTTCATACCAATTCTCCATGAAAGATCTTGGAGAAGCCTCCTATATATTGGGTCTTCGACTCTATAGAGATAGATCAAAGAGGATAATAGGATTATTCCAGTCTTCTTACATTGACAAGATTGTCAAAAGATATAGTATGGAGAACGCCAAGAAAGGAAATGTTTCTTTCAGACACGGGGTCACTCTCTCCAAGGGTATGTCTCCCAAGACTCCCGAAGAGATTGAGGGCATGAAAGATATTCCCTATGCTTTAGCCATAGGGAGCATCATGTATCCCATGCTGTGCACTCGTCCTGACATTTCTCAGGTAGTGAGTGTGGTAAGCAGATACCAATCTAACTCAGGGCAGGAGCATTGGACCGCTGTTAAAAACATACTAAAATACCTTCGGAGGACAAAAGAGTTTTCTCTGGTATTCGGTGGTAGTTTACTACAGATCTTTGGGTATACCGATACCGATTTCCAATCAGACCCAGATGATAGAAATTCTACATTTGGTTACATCTTTACAATGGGGTCCTATGTAGTAAAAATAGCAGATTCCACAACCCAAGCCAAGCACATTGCCATAAGTGAGGCTGCCTAATGAATGAAGGTGTTCATTCTGGAATTTGGAATTCAGCACATCACCCATTCCACTATTGTGTGACAACACTGTATTTATGGGAGATTGATGTTAAAAGGTAGCATCAGCAGAGAATGTGCTAGACCCATTGACTAAGTCACTAACACAGAAAGTGTTTGAGAAATACGTGGAAAGTATGAGACTCCAGCTTATACCCAATTGGACCTAAGTGCATGTTGGCGCTGTTAGACAGTGTATGCCCTTAGCTCCAATCAGATTGATGTACTTGATGACATTTATTGTAAATGAATAAATGTACATAATTGATTCATGTGTTTTGGTATGTTTCTGTGTAATACCCTTAGACTGGATACCTATGAGACTCGTGTTAGTTTAGAATCTTCACAGCCATTGGATAAATCTGGGGAGATTTATCCTGCTAAGGCTGACACTGATGTGCAGCCAAGTTGGTTGGGGTGGCTTGCCTCAGTTGCCAGGGTGAGGCCTGAGGTTCATGTAGTGTGGGTTTTCTTGAAACCCTGAACCGGACCAAAATTCCAGTATTGCCTTGGACCTTAGAGACAGATGGACAAAACTGGAATGTTACACCTGACCCCTAGACTCGATTATGGTACTGCACTAGGTGTCGGATTGGGCTATCTTTGATATGCCAATCAGTGAGATCCTTAGAGGGGGTCAAAACCTGGGTATGTTGGGACTGTCCGAGAATTCATCTGAGTGGGTGATCATAGTGAAAGGATCAGCCCCTTTGTCGGACAAAGTGATTGATCGGGGATGCACTCTCTCTGATGGAAACCTAAACTACTGCTAGTTGATTTCAAACGTTGAAATTTGTTTTTTTGCAAAATATATTTATATATATATTATGGTTTCAAAATATTTGAAAAATGTTTTAATTCCCGGGATCCATGTAAGTAGAGTGTGCAACACTGTTCCTTGTAGCCAAGGGAGAGGTCCTCTCTTGTCGGGCAGTGTTTGATCATTATGGGCTGAGAGGTTAAGTATAAGACCATTGAGTGTAATACCTAATGGGCTAATCTTGCATCTGCCCACAGTCATTGGGTTTTCATAAGGTCGCTGGACCCAAGAACCATTTAGTGTAAATGTTGGGCCCATTAAGAGCCCATAGTGATGGACTCAGAGGGTTCATTGTCTCTTATAGTGAATTCAGCCTGGCCTTGTAACAAAGGCTGGGCTGAACCCATCTGGCTGATGTGTAGATCAATGTTTGGGTCCCACGCCATACAAAGAGAGCTATCTGGGCAGCAGGTTAAGGGGTAAGTGAGCACATAAGCTTAATGAGCCTAAACCCCAATTCGAACTGGGCTTAAGTTAGTTAATTAAAATGAGTTAAGATAAGTGATGAGTGTACAAATTACACATATTTTATGAGGTTTTATGCATGGTTTTTATGCTGGTTTGTGTGAGTTTTACCCCAATTCAACTTAATTTCAGGAAATCATCAAGGGAAACCAACTTAGGAGAAAAAGAGCATAAAACAAAGAAAAATGAGCTAAATTGGAGGTAATTCAGCTCAGCTGGAACAAAAGCCCAGCTAAGAGGTCAAAGGAGAGCCATTCGGCCCATGCAGCCCATGCTGTACTCTTTGGGAGATGCCCAAAGAGAGAGCCTAGCCGTAGCCTTCCAAGGGAACCTATTCGGCCCAGCAAGGAGGAGGCCCATTTGCAGCTCAAGAGCAACCCAAATTGCAGCCCAAGAGACGCTAGGGGTGATAACTTCTAGAAGGTTCAAGAGAGGCTAGGGGTAGCAAATTCTAGAAGGTTCAAGAGAGGCTAAGGGTGGTAGCTTCTAGAATTCTTGGAGAGCTGAAGGAAAAACTATTTAAGGAGCTCTCTTGGAGGAAAAATAGGTTCAACACCTTGTGGTTCAAGCCCTTTGGGGAGAGAACTCCTTGAGTTCGAATTCTTGGAGGGAGAAGAGAGAGATAGGCGCAAGAGAGGAGAAGAAAGGAGACTCAAGCAACTTCAAGGGAAGAAGAAGCTGAATTCAAAAGGAGAAGAAGCCATTGGAGATCTAGGTTGTTCTTCCTTGATTTCTGTACATTTGGTAATCGAATTCAGCTAAGGATGATACGTATTTTTCTCCATTAATTTTTCTTTCTTGTTGTAATTGAAACATGATCTCTGTCATTTCAAAACTGTAATTAGTTTTTGAGGTTCAATCGAATAGATTAGATGCAATCTTGATGTTTCTTGATTATAAATTTAATTGTAGAACTGCTAGCCGAGTTGATCTTGATCTTTGTAATGTCTGAATTGCTTGAGAAAGAATTCAGGCACTCTTAATTCTGTTTGGCTAAACTGTTCTTGATTCTTGGAAGCTCTAGAATGCTTGAGAAAGACTCTAGGATTTCAGATCTTCTAATCAAGAACCGAATTGAGTGCAAGGTTAGAGATAACTTGCACAATTCGGTTGGTGTTCATTAAGCTGAAATGATGCCCTAGAATTGCTAAATCTTAATGCATGCATAAGGATTAGATCCTTGATAGAGATATAAGGACCGTCACTCATACATAGATTGAACATGCGCTTGAGAGAGACTATTCATTGCCTTGGGGTTTCACCAAACAAAGGTTGAATCCAAATCTAATCGAATGGCCTAGAGAACTAACTGCTGAATCATTTATGTGCTTAATTAATTTGTCTTCTCAACTTGCATGCAAGGTGTTTGATCCAATTTCTTAGAGATAGGTTGTTATCTAGGATTTCAGTTCTGAAGTAGACATACAATTTGGTTAATCAGATAAGAGTAGGCTGATATACTACTAGTAGTTGCTACATAAATCCTCGTGGGAAATGATACTCTATTCATCACTCTATAACTTGTGCGGCTAGTGCACTTGCTAGTGTAGCAAATACGCATCAATAGGATCTATAATCTGATTAGGATTAGCTGAAGGATAAGATAAGTCTTATCCATTCAAGAGTCCAAATCCAAATATCAGATTTGGATTAAGGAATTCTCTCCTAATTAGATTAGGAGGCTGATCCTGAGAAGGCTATAAATAAAGGGGGCGAATTCCTCAGTTACACATACACACAACAATCTACAGAATTCTCCTCTTGTTCTTGTTATCCCTACCCAGTTCGATCTCCACCTTTGGAACTGATCAAGAAGAGTTCTTGATATTGTTTCCTATCTGAAGAAACAATTTGAAGTCATGCTCACCAGCCCTTTACTCCATTCTTGTTGAAGAATTCGATTATTGCTGAAGAGCTGTCCTACTGATCCTGCTTCACTACGCACTATGTCATTTTTGAAATTTTGCCCAACCTTCCTGCAGGGTTTGGCCATCCATATGATGGATCTCTCATCCCTTCAGTTCCCGTGTCTAATTTGGGAGAGAACACAACCCAAAGAAACAAAGCAAGGCTGGTTGCTAAGGGCTATGCACAATAGCCTGGTGTTGATTATTTTGAAACATTTGCTCTGGTAGCACAATTGGATACTATTAGAGCTCTCATTGCATTTGATGCCTACAAAGGTTAGTTGTTATGGCAACTTGATGTTAAATCAGCTTTCATGAATGGAGAATTGAAAGAAGAGGTGTATGTAGAACAACAAAGCTTTGTGATTCATGGCAAAGAAGAAAAAGTGTACAAGTTAAAGAAGGATCTATATGTGTTAAAACAAACACCAAGAGCATGGTATAGCCAAACTTATGCATACTTTGCTAAGAAAGGGTTCATGAAAAGCAAGAGTTAGCCTACTTTGTATGTGAAGAAACAAGGTATGGATGATGTTCTCATTGTTGCTCTTTATGTTGATGACTTGGTTTTTATCGGAAACAATATGAAAATGATTGAAGATTTTAAAAATGAAATGGTGAAAAAAATATGAAATGAGCGACATGGGACTGTTACATCACTTTCTTGGTATTGAAATTTATCAAGGTGATGATGGAGTATTCATTTTTCAAAGCAAGTATGATGAAAAGGTTCTCAAAAAATTCAGAATGTTGGGATGCAAATCTGTAGCTACTCCACTAGATCTCAATGAGAAATTAATGAAAGAAGATGGTGGTAAGAAGGTGGATGAAACCTTGTACAGAAGCTTGGTTGGAAACTTGTTCTATCTTACTGCTACAAGGCAAGACATCATGTTTGCAGCAAGCTTACTGTCCAGATTTATGAACAGCCCCAGTCACATTAATTTTGGGGCTGCAAAAAGAGTGCTACGGTATGTGCAAGGCACCATGGATTATGGACTGAAATATGACAGAGGAAATGAAGTAAAACTGATTGGTTTTTGTGATAGTGATTGGGGAGGATGTGCTGATGACATGAAGAGCATATCTGGTTATTGTTTTTCCTTTGGTAGTGGTGTATTTCTTTGGTGCTCAAAGAAATAAAAATCAGTAGTTCAATCTTCAACAGAAGCAGAGTATGTTTCAGCTTCAATGGCGACATCTCAAACAATTTGGCTTAGAAGAATTATGGAAGATGTTAATGAGAAGCAAGAGAATGCTACGGTGATTCATTGTGACAACAAATCTGCCATTGCTATGTCAAAAAAACCATGTTATCATAGCGAAACCAAGCACATTGCTCTCAAACATCATTTCATTCGAGATGCCATTGAAGATGGAGAAATTGAACTATTGTATTGCAAGACTCAAGAGCAATTGGCTGATATCTTCACCAAGCCATTGGCAAGAGAGAAGTTTGAAGAATTAAGAGAAGCATTAGGAGTCCAACAACAACACATTAAGGGGGAGAATGTTACAACTAATGTGCTAGGAAGTTAAAATATTTTATATTTATTTTGTCTTTTCATGTAGTCAGTAAAAGTAACTTTAGTTGGGTCATTTTCTACTTTTGGCAAAATCTTGGTTAGTTGAAAAGTGTACTTGAAGAAGCTTCTTACTTGGCTTGCTCAAGAAGCCATTCTTGTATGACTCTAACCAAGAGTGAAACCATAATACATATAAAGTAATTTTCAGCCCTCTATTGCTCTGTTTTGCTCTGTATTTTACTTCAATTTGCTGCATGTAAGTTTGTTATTTCTCCACTTTGCATGCACCCATAGTTAATTGAAACTACAACCAAATCCTAACAATACGATTATAAGGGCCTCAACGAGCTAGAAATTCACTCCCATAAAGTTTACAGTCTCGTCGATCGTGTTCCCAAGATTAAAGAATAGGTTAGACATCATGCAGAATAACCTCCAAAAGGTGGACCACATTGATACCTTGGAATGTCAATAGGAGGAAATTAAGGAGATGTTGATGCAAGCTCTCAACCGCCCTCAGAATCCTTTGCCTCCATTAGTCCCTCACCAGCCACCACCAACCCAGTTTTCTACCCAAGTCCCTTCCCAGGAGAATGTCGGATCAGCACTAGTGACAGAAGGCCCTACAACCACCTTCCAAGACCTAGTTTATCAGACTGCAATGCCCCATAGTCCCCCTATATCATGAAGAGTTGTTCTCGCCTTTCTCACTTTGGTGCAACCACCCCACATGGTTGAGAAAGTCGTCGGTCCCTTTGAATCTCTAGTCAATTAGGTCAAGATTCATGAATATGTCTAGAGCCTCTTCAAAGCTAACCAGATATAAATCAAAGATTCCCTTTTCCTTCAAAAACCTTATCCCAACAAGACTTGAGCAAACCTTATCCAATCGGATACACATTAAACCTTGAACAACAGATAACATGAAAGCCCCTATGAATACATCAGTAAGTTCGAAGGCTCATTGGATGGAGACCTCAAAGTAAGAGAGTTTTCCAAGTCCCTGACCAGTCTAGCCTACTCTTGGTTTGTGCGACTAACAATAGGGGAATAGATTCTTGGGGCAATTTAGTGGAGAAGTTCAACACTAAGCATTTTTCCCTAGAAAAGTGCATGACTACGGAAGATCTATGCAATATAAAGTAAAGGGATGGAAAAGTTTTGCTAGATTATGTCATGTAATTATAGAGGCTACACACACTCTGTCCTGGATGAATGAGTAACACAGAAAGAGTTTGTGCCCAAGATAAGGCTGTCTTATAAAATTGGCATTAAGACTCATGGCTTCCAAGTTTTTCATAGCTTTGGAAATGCACAAAGAGAACAACTAGCACTATAGACACTCTTCCATGATGCAGCAAGGAAACATGGTGCAATAGTTTCAGCACTAGTATTAGGAGAGCTACACAGTAGAGTAGAAGCCATTCACCACTAGAAGGAACACATGAAACGGATTTAGCCCCATAAGAAGAGACAATGGGCCACCGCCTCCCCCACTGCTATTTTTTGGTTGTACTAGGAATTGGGTAATTTTAATCAAGAATAATTAATTGAAGATAATGTTAATAAGCCACCCCCACCCCACCCCACCCCACCCAAAGAGAGACAAGTGTGGCAAATAATGGTGTATCACTAGAACAACACCCATGACCTGATAGACTACTTCACTCTATGAAGAATCTCCGCAACCAAGGTCAGGTTGGACAAGTTCTTGAAAAAGGAAATCAACACAAGTGGATACTAACCCCTTCCCATTCATCAACAGGGAGGAAGCAACAACATGGTTGGAGTGGTCAACCATCCCACTACCACCTCCGATGCGCTGGAAGTGCAATTCTAGAAAAGTGTCAAGCTCAATGACTTTTCAAGAAGAATGACACTAATGAAGTGGTAAAGCAAGTAGCACTAAGAGCATTAATCAAGATTTTCAAGAATTTAACGCACCTTCCAAAGCACCAACACAGACAAAATTGAATTCTCGACGGACAACATATATATACTTGTAGTTGACTCATATATAGCATATCCGACCGATGTATGTGATGACCAAAATGGGGGTATATGAAATGAAGGGAGAGTTAATGGATCAAGGCAGTGCTGTGAACTTAATCTCCATCCACACCTTTTAATTGATGGGTGTGAATGAAGATGACTACTTATGGAAGTAATAGACATTAACGGGAGCATCTTGGCCACCAAAGGCTCCACTCAGCTCCCTTTGTTTATTAGGCCTTTATGACTAAGGAATTCAAAGTCATCCCTAGCTGCACAATATACCATGTCCTCTTGGGCAGACCATTGATCCACTACTTAAGACTTGTGCCATTGACCGATATCACTAGAGCATCAAATACAGGCACAACGGGAAGATAGTACGCATCCCAACAACTAGAATGTCAGTCAAGAGATTAGAGGCACACTTACATGATGTAATTTACAACATCGACTTGGAAAATGATGTGAGGCTTGCATTGCAAAGATAAAAGGCACAAGTTTATCGCTGCACAAGGAAAAGGACACAACCCCACATAAGAAACAAAGAAAGCACGTCACTGCATTAAAGTAACTAACCTTGATGGCTACATTTATTACACGATAGTAGAGGAGAACAAAAGAGCCATCTCAAAGAGCACCAAAGAAGGTGAAATTAGAAGAGGTACGTGAATTTTAGAATTGATTTAAACAATTGTAGCACATTTATTTCTACAAAATATCATATTTGAATACATATATTTTTTTGCTTAAAAAAACATCTTGTTGTTGTTAGACAGTTTTGTATGCCCTTAGCTTCAATCTGTTTCGATGTAGTTTTGACATTTAGTGTAAATAAATAAAGTGCATGTTTGATTCATGTTGTTTGGTATAATTCTGTGTAAGACCCTAACTGGACACTTATAGAGACTCGTGTTAGTTTTAAATGTTCCCAGCCATTGGATTGTTAGACAGTTTTGTATGCCCTTAGCTTCAATCAGAATGATGTACTTTATGAGTTTATTGTAAATGAATAAAGATACATATTTGATTC